CACTCACACTCTCTTTCTCACACGCACTCACACTCTCTCTCTCTCACACGCACTCACACTCTCTCTCACACACACACACACTCTCTCTCTCACACACACACACACTCTCTCTCACACACACACACACTCTCTCTCTCACACACACACACACTCTCTCTCACACACACACACACTCTCTCTCTCACACACACACACACTCTCTCTCACACACACACACACTCTCTCTCTCACACACACACACACTCTCTCTCACACACACACACACTCTCTCTCTCACACACACACACACTCTCTCTCACACACACACACACTCTCTCTCTCACACACACACACACTCTCTCTCACACACACACACACTCTCTCTCTCACACACACACACACTCTCTCTCACACACACACACACTCTCTCTCTCACACACACACACACTCTCTCTCACACACACACACACTCTCTCTCTCACACACACACACACTCTCTCACACACACACACACACACACACACACTCTCTCTCTCTCTCTCACACGCACTCACACTCTCTCTCTCACACGCACTCACACTCTCTCACACGCATACGCACACACACTCTCTCTCTCACACGCACTCACACACTCTCTCACACACACACACTCTCTCACACACATACACACGCACACTCTCTCACACGCACTCACACTCTCACACGCATACGCACACACACTCTCACACGCACACACACTCTCACACGCACACACTCTCACACACACACACTCTCACACACTCACACACTCTCACACGCACACACTCACACTCTCTCTCTCTCACGCACGCACTCACACTCTCTCTCTCTCACGCACGCACTCTCCCTCTCACACGCACTCTCTCTCACACACTCTCTCTCTCTCTCACGCACGCACTCTCCCTCTCACACGCACTCTCTCTCACACACTCTCTCTCTCTCTCACGCACGCACTCTCCCTCTCACACGCACTCTCTCTCACACACTCTCTCTCTCTCTCACGCACGCACTCTCCCTCTCACACGCACTCTCTCTCACACACTCTCTCTCTCTCTCACGCACGCACTCTCC